ACAGGCCCGGTCTCCCTGGTGGCCTTCAATGTGGATGTGACCCAGCCTTGGGTCACACCTGACGGAGGCACTCCTTTCGTGCTCAGCTCCCTTCTGCACCAAGACCCCAGCACCAACCAGACCTGGTGAGTGGGCCCCAGCAGGCAGGAGGGCTGAGGACTTGGGGGGCCTCTGGGCGCCTGAGATGTGGGAATGTTTTCTTTTTTCTTTTTTTTTGAAGAGGTTTTCACTATAGGGCGCGTGCGCTTGCCAGACAGAGAGAGACAGAGAGACAGAAAGCGAGAAATCACCCCCCGGGGGGCTGGTCACAGAGCAAACCCTTCTCCTCCATTCTCCTCTCGGGATCTTGGGCATGCACGCACACGCGCCCGGCGTGAGTTTAAGCCACTGGGTCCGGGACACAAACCATGATCGACTACGTGGGAGTCCAGCGACATAGCCATTACGCTAACTGCTGGTCCCAGATGGCACAATGGTTTTTGAGATTCACCCATCTCGTCATATCAGTTGCTCACTCCTATTGCCGAGTGGTACTCCGCTGTATGAATATACCACAGTTAATTTATCCATTCTTCTGTCCACTTAAAAGGTAAACCGACTCAGTGTGTAAGGGAAAAGGAGTTAATTTGGGCCAGGGATGAGGATCCTGCCTGAGTACCACAATATCCAGGTTGTGGGCAGAGAAGGCCCTAGCACCCACTCTCACAGTCTGGGGAGAACCTCCTTTCTCTGTCAGAAGGGCGTGCAGGGGTGAGAAGGGAGAAGGAAGGACTTACACTTTTTTTAAAAAAAATAATCATTTATTTATTTAAGTCAATTTATTATTATTATTATTAAATTTGACCAGAGAGAGAGAGAGAGAGAAAGGGAAAGCGAGGTTGGCCATGTGAGAATCCAGTATCCCAACCACTACACCACCTGCCAGTCCCCTTACAAACTATTTTAAAATAAAGTTTATTAAGGCTCTTTTGTTCCTCACAAAAAATAACATGTGCTCAGTATAGAAAATTTAGGAACAAAAGTACAGAAAAAAACGGAAAATGTGAGGCACAAGAGGGTAGTGGTGACGAGGCGGGCTGTGGTTCCGGTAGTCACGGCCGGGTCACAGCCTCGCACGGCCTGTGCTGTGTGCCCTCGGCAGGTGCTCAGCTCTGAGCCTCCGTTCTCACTCTGCAATGGGGAGGGGCAGTGGCCTGCCCTGCCTACCTCTCAGGCAGTTGCAAACCCCATTTGGGATAATGCATATAAAGGACTTAGCACAGCTTCTGCCCAAATCAAAGCTTAATAAACGTTACCTTAAATTTTAAAAATATCATCTGGATTTAAGCCAAAATAAAAGAAAGAAAGAAAAGTAAAGCCCGTCAGCCTCGTGCTGGGAAGGATGTGGTGAAAGGCGCGGGGGGAGGGTAGCTGGCCCACCACCATGGGCTGCAGTTCGGCTCCATCTGGTAAACCTGAGGATGCATGTGCCCTTTGATTCAGCAGTTCCACTTCCAGATACCGACTGTCGGGACGCGCTCAGCCACCTGTAAAATTGTCTGAATGTCTGCTCTAGCGTTGCATAGGGCAGTGAAAGACTGGCAATATTACGAAAATGGGAAAAAGAAGATGTGGCTCACGTGATGCAATCCTTGCTTGGCGTTTGACGGAAAACACACACACACACACAAAACCTCCCACATGCCTGAGGCCCCAGGAGTGCACTGCCCGGTGAGAGCAGAGAAGTCTGGGGCGTGTTAGGTGTGCACAGGAAGCCCGGGCCAGCTCATTCATTCAGCAAGTGTTTATGGGGCATCTACTCACTGCAGGCTTAGGGGATAGGATGGAGAGGGAGACACGGGCAGTGTCCCCATGGAGCTCCTGGCTCATGAGGGAAACAGATAAGTCAATGACAAGAGCGATGGCAGCTCTGGTGGGGGACTCCTAGGGCCCTGGGAACAAACAAGTCGGTGTTTTCTTCAGCATCTCCACATGCCCTTGAGAGTCGAGCAGGACTTAGCATGACAGGGTCCGGGAAAGGGAAGTCCAGGCCGAGAGCACAGCTCTGTCAAGACCTTGGGAACTGCACTGAGCGAGGTTAAGGAACTGAGAAGATGGCGTGCCTACAGCTGACAGCAATGAAGAAGACCCAAGCCCTGTAGGTCTAGAGAAGCCAGAAGGGCCTGGCGTCGGGAGGGGTGGTGAGAAGGTTGCTGGGAAGTCTTTGGCTGCAGGAAGGTGAATGAATGGTCAGTGTTCGTCGTGTTTTGTTTTAGTGACATTTTATTGGCATAAGCACACAGAAAAGCGTGCATGTCCTGAGCGCGCTGCTCCAGGAATGAGCACAGTGTGAGCCACCTCTGCCCGCAGCATCCAGGGAAGGGGGCATGGGCAGCCTCCCAGAAGCCCCTCCACGGCCCTGCTCCCTTCCGGACACAGCCCCTGCCGGGGGGAACCGCCATCTGACTTTCACCTCCTTAGTTTTGCTCGTTTTTTTCTTTTCTAACGTAGTGTAAATGAGGCCTGCCGTATGCGCTGTTTTGTCAGGCCCCTCTCGCTCAACACACGGCCTCCGAGTGTCATCCGTGGCACACATCATCCGCGTGCAAGGCTCCTTCTCACTGCTAGAGTTTTCCACGTGGGGACAGTCCTGATGACATCTGGGCAGTTTCCTTGGGCTACGATGAAGACCGCTGGTTCTTTTTATGTCTGGAAGCTCTTATTTTTATTGGGCATGTGTCCGGGAGTGGAATTGCTGGGTCCCAGTCATGGGGTGGTTCAATATTCAGTTTTTGAACTGTTTGTGGCGTGAGCAGGTTTCAGTTCAGTTCTCTGGGTCCGTTCCCATCCAGTTCCTTCTCACCGGTACCTCAGGGCGACCCTCCCCGGCTCCAGGCTCCCCAGAAGCCGAGGTGGATAAGAGGAGCTAGAAGCCCCTGGGGCAGAAGACCCGTAGCCTGCTGAGGGGTGGGAGGGCGCCCAGCTGGGTGAGAGAAAGCCTCCCCCAACACCTGCTGACGCAGAGTGGGCTCACGGTTTGAACATGCTGGGGAAGAGGATGTGGTGGGAGGCATTTCTGGGTTTCTGCCACCATGATAGAACCTGAGGCCTGCCACGCGGGGCAGGAAATGTGCTGGCCGCCCCGGGCCGGGCGTACAGAGAGGAATGAGGAATGGGCTGGGCTCCCCGTGTGTGCAAGGCGATGTGTCCCTCTCACCCCCACCCCCACTGTTTAGCTTTATGGTTTGGGGCTGCTGCAGGGTATGGGCGGGGCCCGCTGCAGGGCAGGTAGGCCTCCCCTCTGGAGGTTTGGGAATAGATTCTGAGAACAGGGACCAGTTAGAGGGGGAGAAGCAGGGAGTGGGCGAGGGATGCTAGGGCTGTACCTGGCTCAGGGTGGAATGGGGCCGCTGGGGCTGTCAGTTGGTGGCCAGTCCTCGGTCTCAGCTGTCAGCCAGTGGTTAGTTGTTTATCAGTCACTCAGTCAACCCTGGAAACCATCAGTCATGGGGGAAGAAGAGGGAGCAGAGGCAACTGAGGGCGGGCCAGGCCACAGACTTACACCAGTGTGATGTGAATGTCAGTCCGGGGCATCTGCAGTGCACAGCTGTGCGGGCGGTCTCCTGGGAACCACAACCTCGGTGGGAACTAAGGCTGGCACGGGAGTGGGGACCCGATAGTCAGGGCTACCCAGAGCGCCTGGAGGGAGTCAAGTGGCACCTTTCTGTGCAAAGGCTTCCTGAGGAGCTGGTGTTGAGGATGATCGTTCTGCAGAGAGGAACAGCTAGGCAGAGGCCTGAGAGGACAGAGAGCCGAGGCTTTCCAGGCCTACCCCCTACCCCAGCATGTGCTCTGGGTAGAGCCCAGCTCTGAGCCCACCCTTTGTGGGGGAGCAGGGAATCAGGTGCTGGGCCCAGGGCTGAGTCTCAGTCTAGGAGGGGCAGAGTTGCTGAGGAGATGACCTAGTTTGGGGGCTCGGCTGCAGAGCCCACGCAGAGGAGCAGGGCTGGGCCACACTTGGCCCTCTACTGCTCAGCCTTGCCCCAACTTCGTGCCCTCAGCTGTTTTCCTGTCTGTCGTGCGAGAGTCACTCGACAAATGTTTCCCGAGGCCCTGCTCTGTGCCAGGCACTGTTCCAGGCTCTGGGACTAACATGGTGAACAAGATAGACAAGACCCTTGGGAAACTTCCTGTCTAGTGGGGGCCACCAATAATTAGCTGGTAAACAAGAAAACAAGATACTATCAGATCAGTGACAAGTTCCTAGAAGGAAATAAAACAGGGTGATGCGAAGCAGAGTAACTGGGTTGTGAGGCGGGGCTGGCTAGAGAAAGCATCTATGAGGAGGTGACAGTTAGGCAGAGCCGAGGGATGGGAATAAGCCAACCTTGGAAACAGTGGGAGGTGAGGGTTCCAGGCAGTGAGAACAGCAAGAGGAACGGCCTGAGGCAGGAAAGTGCTGGGAGCTGCTCAGGAATGGAGGCCAGGCCACTGTGGGACTGGAACATAGAGGGGTGTGTGTGTGTGTGTGTGTGTGTGTGTGTGCACGTGCGTGCGAGGCAGAGAAGGGCTAGACCCCTTTAGGAAGAGATTGGCACACTTTTTCTAAGTTCGTGGAAGGCTGCTGAAGCTAGGGAGTGGTCTGGTATAAATCACAAGAGTAAATTCTAAACAACCCAGACCAGCTCCACAGGGCCAGTCCCACGGTGCCGCAGTCAAGCACTGCGCACAGGGTGCTGGATCCCACGTGGCTGACCGCAGTTTGAATCCTGGCCCTGGCAGCTTGAAAACCATGCTGGGCCTGTGCGTGTGCCAGGAGCCTGACGGGGTGGAGAAATGGAGGGAAAAGGATTGGGGTGTGAGAGGGCCTGTTGGGTGTCTCTCTCTCTCTCTCTCTCTGTCTGTCTCTCTCTCTCTCATGCATGCACATGGACCTACTTGCAAAAACAAATGAACACAAAATCCCAGAAAATAATAAGAGGCGATTTCAAAGACCAGGCAAGAAGGCCAGGGTGGCTGAAGGGAAAAATGGAAAGAGATCCTGGGGCGGGGTGGTGGTAGGGAAAAATGGAAAGAGATCCTGTCTAGATAGAATCTGGGGAAAGAACCAGCAGCGTCGACTGACAGACTGGGCATAGGGGATGAGTAAAAAGACAAAGGAAGGACGCACCCCAGGTCCCAGGTTCTCCGACTTAGTGGCTGGCAGGGCAGTGCATGGCTGCAGGGCCGACGAGCGGGAGCGGGCTTGGGCGGCCACAACCACAAGGTCGGTGCAGACATTGTGAGCTCGAGGTGCCTATTAGACACGGACAGTTGTTTTTTGCATTAGTTTCCTATTGCCGCTGTCACAAGTTACCACAAATTTAGAGGCTGACCACAGCACAAATGTATTTATTCAGTTACTTGTCATAGGGTGCGTGTGCTCGTTGGAAAGAGACAGCGACAGTGAGAGGGAAAGTGAGAAATCACCCCGGAGCGGGGGTGGCCATGCCACAATTTTGTCTCCTCCATTTTCCTCCTCCCGGGATTTCGGGCACATGTGCACACGTGCCTGTCGGGATTTTTAAGCTGTCGGGTCCAGGACTCAAACCGCGGTTGGCCATGTGGGAATCCAGCACCGTAACCACCACACTACCTGCAGGCCCCCACGACACAAAATTATTGTCTTATGTTTCTGAAGGATGATGTCTGCGATGTGTCCTTCTGGGCCAAAATCCAGGTGTTTCTTCTGGTAGTTCTAGGGGGGAATCCATAGCCTTGCCTTTTTCAGCTTCTGGAGGTCACCTGCATCCCTGTTCCATCTTCCGGTCTTTCTCTGAGCCCGGGGTGGGGGCAGGCGGGTTGCAGTAGTAAAGCAACTAGACCCACAGGGGAAGGTCTGTGTCCTGGGACCTCTGAGCACTCCAGGCACCCACACAGGCCCTGATTGAGGGCCGGCTGAGACGGGAATTGGCGGGGGTGGACTGGTGTGAAGACCCCGTTGGAGGTGCTTCTCTCTTTCGTGATAGGGATAAATGAATGAACTTAAACAAAAAACCAAAAGAACAAAAACCAAAAAACAAAAAAACTCACGCAGCCTTTTAGCTGGAACCGCCACCTTCCAGTAATTCACCAAAATGACAAACGCAAAGGGCAAGAGGAGAGGCACCCGATATATCCTCCCTAGGCCTTTTAGGAAACACGGAGTGGTTCCTTTGGCAACGTAAGTACGATTCTATAAGAAAGGTGATACTGTAACATCAAGGGAGTGGCTACTGTTCAAAAATGTTACCACGGCAGAACTGGACCGGTCTACAATGTCACCCAGCATGCTGTTGGCATTGTTGTGAACAAACAAGTTAAGGGCAAGATTCTTGCCAAGAGAATTAATGTGCGTATTGAGCATCTTAAGCATTCTAAGAGCAGAGATAGCTTCCTAAATCGTGTGAAGGAAAATGACCAGAAAAAGAAGGAAGCCAAAGAGAAAGGGACCTGGGTTCAGCTGAAGCGCCAGCCTGCTCCACCCAGAGAAGCCACTGTGTGAGGACCAAAGGCCAGGAGCCTGAGCTTCTGGGACCTGTACCTATGAATTCATGGCTTGATGGTGTTGAAAATAAACTAATCTATGGTCTGTAAAAATGTTTTCCTTAATTGAGTTGAGTTGTGTTCCCTCCCCAAAGATAAATTGGGCTCTAATTCATTTGGTGATTTCTTTATTCAAATTTAGTATTTTTTTTTTTCCTGAAAGATGTTAGGTAGCTTATTATGCAACAAATAAAACTCAGTTAGGGAAAAAAAAAAAAAAAAAAAGAAAAACCTTATGCTAAGGGCACAGGACTCCCCCATAGCTGACAGTAGTTCAAGTCCCAGACGTGGTGGTTTGCTTTCTCACTTTCCCTCTCTCTCTCCTACCCTCGCTCTGTCCCTCTCTGGTCAAATGAAAATAAATAAATAAATGAATAAAGTTAAATAAAATAATTCTTTAAACAACAAAAACAAAATAAAACCTCATGCTTTGAAAAAAAAAAATCAGTCTGTATCTCTGCATCTCCTGTCTCTCAGGAGAAGCACTGAGCTCACCCAGATAATCTCCCAACTGCAAAATCCTTAATCGCATCCACAGTAAAAGACAACGCGGTCCCGAGGTCCGGGGGACTAGGACATGGACACCTCTGGGGGATCATGACTCTGCTTACTGCATCCCTGACAGGTGGAGGGATGCGGCGGCCACAGGTGTCAAGGTGGTAATGTCAGCATTGGCAGGTGTGTGAAGCCACGGGGCTGGAAGGGACCACTCAAGAGGGCGTGCTAGCCAAGAAGGCACAGCCCAAGCTCTGGGACTCTGGTGACAGGTAGAGGTCAGACAGGAGCCAAGGAGGGAGTCTGAGAAGGAGGGGGGGGGGGGGGGGGGGGTCAAGGGAAAAGTGCTGCGAGGTTGAGGAAGATGAGGACAGAAAAGGGTCACTGGATTCGGCTGTAGCAGAGGATGGGGGCACACTGGTAGACGCTTTATCTTTATTTTGTAAACCATGCAGACATGTGAACATTTTTCAGAATTTAAAAAAATATGTAGTGCTAGGAGGTGAGGAAGTAGAGACAGCACCTCATGCCTGTCCCACCCCATCTGCCCCTCAACCCACTGTAGCCACATCACGACCTTTAGAAAGCGTGAACTCGTCACGTGTCTTCCCCTCCTACAGGCCGGCACGGCCTCCCACTGCTCTCAGCAGAAGGCCCTCTCCGAGCCTGTCCCGTCCCCTCTGCACCCGCTCACAGCCCCAGGATGGGGAGCTCACTCTGTCATGGGGCAGGCAGCCCCGTCCTCCATGGACAGCACAGATACGAGAGTGTTCAGGCAGACGCGGGACTCCCTGCTGGCTCCCCGGTCTGGGCGTGGGAAGAGGACAAGAAGGTGCAGTGAGAATTGTACCTTCTAAAGTTTCCTTAGTCAGGCCGAGGTGTCCACCCCTGAGCCCATAGAAGGGGGCCACAGAGCCAAGCAGGGGAGGACCCCGAGTGGTCACCACCCAGCCAGCACTGGCCCCCACAGAATCGGCTCTGTTACTGGTGGCTTCCTGACTACTCCACCCCCACCCCCACAAGAGCAGTCTATTTAACGCAAGTCCCACCCCTCCCTCTGTCTGGTGGGTGGCAGGCAGATAGGGGTTGCATTTAACCATTTCTTGCCTGGAACTGGACAGAAGTAGAAGTAGAGCAAGTGTCCTTCCCGCAGCGCAGAGTCTGCAGGACCGAGCAGGGACCGGCCTGCCTTTCCCAGGTCTGGGCCTTCTCCACAGCCTGCTGGACGAGGAGCCTGACAGCCTCAGGGTCTGGAATCGGAAGACCGCCCAGGCAGGCAGGGAGAAGGGACCATCAGTTGGACCAGCTTTGCTCTTTCCCCTCCCACGCAGGCTCCTGGTCACCAACTCGAGGACCGACAGGACATCGAGGCCCCTGCACCGATGTTCGCTCATCCAAGATGAAATCCTGTGCCAGCCAGTAGGTAAGTCAGCCCTGACTCCAAAGAATGCTCCCCAGGACCTCCCTTCTGGGCGTTCCACTCATCCCAACCCAAACCATTCCAACTCCAGCCGGCTACTCCAGTCCCTCCGCCCCACAGCAAGCCTTCCACACCAGCACTCAGTCTGCACGGAGCCATCGCTAAGCCTCAGCTCCTTTCCTGCAGCCCTAACAGCAAAGTGATGCCTACTCCTTACTGAGCGCTCACCATGTGCCCGGCACTCTGCTGCGTGCAGCATTCACTTTGTCTTTTAAATTTTGCTATAGGGTGCATGTGCTCACCAGAGAGAAGGAGAAAGCGAGAAAGCACCCCTCAGGGGGCTGGCCATGCCACGATCCCTCCTCCACTCTCCTCTCGGGATTTTGAGCACACATGTACACGTGCTTGGCATGTTTCTCAAGCCACCCAGTCCAGGATTCGAATGCACAGTTGGCCGTGTGGGATCTAGCCGTCCCACTGCATTCATCTTTTACCCTCACACCCATGCTTTATAGGAGAGAAAGCTCTAGTTCAAAGAAGCTAAGTCCTTGGGTTGCTAATATGGCGAAGGTCACTTGTCTAGTGCTGCTGCAAACCCTACAGATGCACGTCCAACCCTGGCTGATTCCAAGCACTAACCTGTCCCAACACAACTCGTCACTCCTCAGTGGAATTCAGCCCCACCTGTCCCAGTCTAAGTGCGGCCCTCCTAGTGTCTAATGTGGGGCCTGACAGCATTAGGCACACAGGAAGTGCTATTTGAATAAGTGAATGAACAGATGAATCTGATTCATTCATTAACCAACCTACCCAGCCCAACGCAAGTCACATGCACTGACAACCGCTTGGCTGTGTAAGTAGAATCCTTGACTCTGTGAGAGGCGCTGAGTTGAACAGACTCCATCTTCTCCCAGACGTGTGTGTAGGTGAGCAGTGGGGCTCGGTGAATCTGTGACTGAATGTTAGCCAGTGGCCTGAGGCCCACAGTGGGAGGAAGAGGGAGCCAGTTCTGCTACTGGGGCTGTGAGGCAGAAAGATTTCCCAGGGGGCCCAGCCTGGCCGGTGCTGTTGGTATTGCACTGATCTGCAGTGCTGGAAGCCACACGGCCAACTGTGGGTTCAGACCCCCAGCTGTTAGACCTGAAATGCACATGTGCATGTGCTCGTGTTCAAGATGCTCACGAGCTACAGGGCTGGGGAAGGGGACTGGGATGATGAGGCCCTGCCATAGGTGCTTCTATATCCCGGTGTGCATGCATGTACTCTGTCATGAGGAAAATAAACTTAAAAAAGAGGAAGATTCCCCAGGGGTGGGTCTTTGAGGCTCATCGGTCCACATGGCCGTCATCTTGCACACTTAGCATCTTGCACACTTCTCTGGTGCTGTACACACGGCCAGGTAGTACTCCTCTGCCCACCTGTCCCACCAGACCAGGAGCCCCTCGAGGAAAAGCACCAAGCCTCGGGACCAGCAGATGGTGTAATAGTTGTGTCACTGGACTCCCATGTAGTTGACTGTGATTCGAGTCCTAGACCCAGTGACTTACAACTCATGCTGGGCACATGTGCACGCATGCCCAAAATCCTGAGAGGAGAATGGAGAAGGGATTGTGGCGTGGCTATCCCCCACAGGGAGTGATTTCTTGCTTTTTGTTTCTCCAGCAAGCACATGTGCCCTACAGCAAAAATCTCAAAAGACAAAACAAAACAAACAAAAAAAACCCACCAAGCCTCAGTCATTTCTGGACGCCTGGCCTGGCACCATTGGTCACAAGGCTGACACAGAGCAGGCCTCCAGGGGAATCTGTGGAATGAGTCGGGAAATGAGCCCCAGAGATAGGCCCTTCACCATGTGTCTAGGCCTGTCCTTGAAGGCCCAAAGCTCCAGTTTTCAGAGGTTTCTCTGAGTAGTCAACAGTTCCTCATGGGGTCCTGACCAAGGTGGCCCTGTGCCCTCTGACCTTGACTCCAGAGTTCCTCCCTCCTTACCTGGTTTAACTGTTTCAGAGCATGTCCCCATCCCAAAGGGCAGGCACCGGGGAGTGACGGTTGTTCGGAACCACCACGGTGTTTTGGTAAGTGTGCACGATGGGCGTGGGGGGAGATACAGGGCCTCAAGGAGGCTGGTGCTACCTCCGGTGACTGACCCTGGTGTTGATACCAACCCTGATTGACAAGTTATTTCCAGAGCTGAGCCCAGCGGTTCCCGTGGTGGCAACCCCAGGGTTGACCCGGGTATTCCACATGACCCAGAACACCCACCCAGGCACTGACCTCAGCCTTGACCCCAACACTGACTCCTACCCCTTTTTGTTCTTGTGAGTTGTTCTTGTGTTCCTTGCCTAGTTGAGCCACTGAGTTCTGTGATAGGGTGACTGTGGCTAGAGGACATGGCGGTGACCCAGCCTTCCTCCTCCTTCCCTCCTTCTCTGCAGATATGCATTCAGGAGCTAGTCCGGCGGTCCCATAACCTTAGCTCGGAATTCACAGGCAACTGCACCCTGTTGGCCCCTGACCTCCGTCCCCAAGCCCAGGCCTACTTCTCTAACCTTGGTAAGGAATGGACACTCACTAGCCTTGGACAACTCTCAGGAGATCCCTTTGGGTCTCCAAGAAGAAGTTGCAGCCTATGGCAGATGCAAAGTAACACAGAGGCCCAGAGGGGACAAGGCCAGCTGGAGGCCCCATGTGAAAGGAATCGGGGCAGCACTAAATGCGAGCTTGCGTGCCGTGAGTGAAATGGAGGCGTTCTGACTCTGAGCTCTTCCGTGTGTGTGTGTTTTTTTTTTTTTTTTTTTGAGGGTTTTTTACTGTAGGGCGCGGGGGCTCTC